AACAGAAAATGTGAATTTAGGCTTTGTTGGTTGCATTGCTGTGAAATGTCCTGGTTAAATAGGCAGGAAGAAGTTTCGTGCAAGAAGCACACTTTGGGGCAAAAGAGGAATTAAAATGACACATCATACGTCTTAACTTCACAACGAAACATTTGTAATTTTTGTTGAGAACATGTGAGAGGAGGAATTCGGGAAATTTTCAAACTGCTGAAAAAAATTTATACGATATGACAGAATGGAAGAATGTGATGAAGACTGAAACCTTGTTTTGTAGCTACATGAAGTGCGGAAAAGTTCATAAATTCTTATTGTGTAACAAATTCATGAGTATTTTAGATTTGTGACAATTATACTTTGGTAGGCTACCAAAGTATGAAGCAAATAACTCAAATTCTTTTGAAAATGCCCTGTTCTTCCTCTTGTCGACCTCTATTCTAATTAAAACATTGCGTAAAACTTCGGAAACAAACGTACAACAATTTACTTCTCAAAAATATTGAACTTTAACAAATCTTGCATTGCTAATTTTTATATATTTGCATCAGCGCAAAACATAAAAATACAAAACACGTGAAAAACAACAAAATCGACAACAAAAAACAAACACTAACTCAAAAACAATTCGAACAGCGACAATAACAAGAGCCACAACACACAACCCACCCACCAAGACATCATCACTCTGCGAGAAAAAACAGCACACAAAAAACTTTACAAATCGAAATCATGATATCGAGCTAATTTGGTTGTAATAAAAATTCACCATTCTACGTTTGGTTTATCTATATTGAAAGCATGCATCAGCTTTCCATCTTCGTCGTCCTCTTCTCCTGCTCAGTTCACGTGATGATTGTATCTGATCATTCTCGGTTTTGGAAATTTTTGTTAGGCTGTTATTTTGTTTTATTTTTTCAATATTTTAAAATAGCAAATTTTAATTTGTTTATGTTTTGATAATTGTTCTCTCCAAAGTAAATCATATTTTTGACCGAATAGAAGAATTCCAATCAAATTTAATTTTTTAAAGTAGTTTTTATTGGAATTTTCGTAACTCAACACCAATTGCAACGTTCTTTTGCTGAACTGAATGTACTCTTAATTGAACTCTTCTTTTGAAAAATAATTTACTATCGTTTATAAAATCTATCTAACATGAATTTAAACCAATAAAAATAAAAAACCTAAATAATAGTACTATATTTCCAACATAAAAAACTCAAGCACTCCAACACAGCCACACACTTATTCACAAAACCACAGGATAACGATTTATTTTCTATAAAGTATTTTATTTGATACTTAAAATGGAAATATTTATTTTTTCCAGCCAGGCAGCAGTTTATGCGAAGTCACGTTCGCCCATCTGAGACACTTAGGATTAGTGGAGGATGGTTATTGAGTCGTTCATGGCCTAGCATGTTGCACTGGAACGGTCACTATTTAAAGGCTTGGTGGAATGCGTGTTTCTTTAAATGGCTCATTTAATCTACCGGTTTGATTGTGTGTTTACTGTTTGTGTGTGTGTGTTGTGTTTGTTTTCGAGCTGTGTGTGTTTATGTGTGTGTGTATGTGTGTGTGTGCTGTGTTTGAGTGTGTGTACTGTGCGTGTGTTTGTTTTGTTTGTTTGTATGTGAGCTGTGTGTGTGTTTGTGTGTGTTTGTTTGTTTGTGTTTTGTTTGTTTGTTTGTATGTGAGCTGTGTGTGTTATGTGTGTGTGTTTGTATACAGAGCGGTTTGTATGTATATGTTGTATGTTGTTTGCAAGTTTTGCACAGGTGTTAAAAAAATGAAAAAAATAAAGTCATAAAAATCACGTTAATAAATTTAACGATACGTAAAATTTTATAGAAATGATATCTGAAGAGTTTTTTTTTATGTTTTTGGAATGTTTGAAAGTTTTTGTTATTTTTTGTTTAAAAAAACATTCACTGTCTTTTGCAAACTGAGAAACTCCTCACCGGGGCGAAGTTTTTTTTATCGAACGTGACCGTCTCAATTTTTCTGGTAGAAATCCAATTTGTCACGGCATATTTTAATTTTTCTTCACATAATTGACGTTTCAGTTTAAATCAGAGATACGCTGAAAAACTGGATAGGAATGTGACAACGTGAATATATTACATAAAGAAATCTACTTATCATTTTACACATTTAAAACATGCAGTGATTGCTACTTTGATGTGAGTTTATGAATGTAAATAAAATAACCCGAATAAAAACGCGTAAATACAAATTTTTATGAATATTTAAATTATTATTGATTTAAAACCTCCTTCATTCGCTCAATAGTCAGATCCAAGTGAAAATAATTGCAGTTTTTTGATATTTGTAGATCGTTACTGTTGATTACATAAAAAAAGTAATACGAATTACAGATCATGTGACTGAATGATTGAAAACTGCTTCAAAAAGTAGTTGAATCTTTAACACAAAATACAAAAAACTCTCTTGAAACTTAATTTCATTTTTATGACAACCTCAAAAGTACAAACATTCCGCTTGTAAAAACCTTTTCCTACATTTTGATTCATCAATTTTGTCTCAACAATTCACAACATTTTTCTGAATTTTTTTTTTCAATTTTAAGAAGAACATTTTTCAGTGGTTCGTGACTAAAATAAACTTTACAAGTAATCGTGCTCAACCATTTTTCCGTATTTTTAATGTGCATTCGTACCAGTACGTTGATTCGCTTTAAGTAAAAAAGTTAGAAAGATGGAAAAGAATTTTTGAGCTCTCAGCCGATGATACTAATGCATAAACATGTGCAAGTATGCTTAAACATATACAAACATATACACACAGACAAGCATAAACAAACATATACATATATAGATGAATACACATAAACATATACAAACATTCAAACGTTTAAAAAGATATATTGACACATAAAAATGTACACGAACATCTATTATTTTAAATTATACATGCATTTGTATCTATATATTAATCAAAGAAATACACGGTAAACACAAATACATACAGTCACGCACAGTAAACATCCATACACTAGTATTTTTCAAACTCACATACATCCCTACATACGACAACCAACTAACGCAAAAAACTTAAACACCAATATATGTCCGATTGCATAAGAACACGTTGCATACAGATCCGCTGATGAAACACAAATATGTCAATAAAAATGACACACACACAAACACACACACACACAAACACACACAGACACAAACACACACAGACACAAACACGCACACATACACCGCAAAGTTCTACAACCACAATTTGATTCAGAAATCGACGTTTGGTTGAAGATGGCATGGACTAAATCCTCATCTCAGGCACGAAAGCATTGCTTACATTATTATTTCATTCCAGGAAGTCAGGTTTGCCTGTGACGTACAATTTTTTAGATGTTGTGTTACATATATTTGTGTGCAATCCATGGTTTTTAGATGTTGTGTTACATGGTATGGAGCAGATAAGAGAGTGAGGAATATTCACATGAATTTTTAATTTGAAATGTGTATGGATGGACAAAACTACTTACGTGTTGGCGAGATAAAAATCATCAAATTACTAACAGTTTCTAACAACTATATTTGAAATTGGTAGCTGCTCTGTTTCCGAATTAAAAAAGTATGAAAAATAATAATATAAAGAATGATAGAATTATACAACAATATTTGAAACAATAATTTTCTACCATGGCTTTATCATTTTTGTCTTCGCATAGTAGGTCATCTTTCAGTTTAAAAAAAACATTTACTAGAATGCCTATACAGGAAAACAGCAGTTATCCTCTAACTAAGCATGATAAATTATTTTCAAATTGAATGTTTAAAAAACTTTTTTTGGCGCAAAAATGTATCAAAGATGATTCTGACTCATTTTTTCGTGCGTTCGTATTTTTTAAACACGCAGAAATGATAAAAAAAAACATATACGTCATGCATGCCTGGATTATTTGTCAGACGACGGATGGCCAGCAGAATTTTTGTTCTTCAGGATTCCACCTCAGGATTATAATGTAACTCTTTTCACCAGCGTTCAAACGTTTGCAACAAAAATTGCCACAACTTCAACTTACTTAAGATAAATTTTACCATCAATGATTCAACCTCTTTTATGAATTCAAACACTAACAATCTATGCATGGTGGTAGCGTGAATAAATGTACATTTACATTAACAAAGAAAATTGGCAACCAAATATGAAATGAATTTAAATCGATAAACATCTCAGTTCATCACAAACATACAAACATTACATACATACATACATACATACATTACATACATACATACATACATTACATACATACATACATATATAGTGAGCAAACATGTATGCACTCACAGATACACACTTACAAATACACAAAATCTCACAAACACATGCATACATAGACACAAACATACACACACACATACACACACACACCTCACACACTCACACACACACCTCACACACACACCTCACACACACACACACCTGACCCTCACACACACACACACACACATAGACACACACATAGACACACACATACACATAGACACACACACATATAGACACCCAAACACACGTTCACACAGATGCCACCAACTCCGTTCATGACATGTTATTATATATAGTAAGATTATTTGGACACGTTGTCCTCGCGTAAACACGTGCTTACGACCAATAGCCATCTGATGTACGTTCAATAACGACTGGCTTTGCTATAATAATAACTGAGTTACCGATTTAATTGAAATACCAGCAAACACGTGAAAAGGGTTTCTACTATTCTGCTCTAATCAACTTTTTTTAGTACATTTATTTTTTTTAATTGTACTTTAATTCAATCATTTAGTACACTATCCATCAACATTATCAAGCTTAACATTCTTCAAGATGTTAAAATGTTGTAATTATTGAAGGTTATTATTTTTAAATTGATATTGAAATGAATACCTATCTATCTATCACATTCGCATATTAGTTAGATGGTTTTAATTCAAATTATTACTTTCCTCTCATAAGAAACAACGATGGGTTTGAAATCTCTGAACTGTGGGATGGTGAGAATGAGAGAAAGAGAGAGAGAGAGAGAGAGAAAGAGAGAGAGAGAAAAAAAGAGAGATAGCAAACATGAGAGAGGGTACACGTTCACTGGGATTTCATTTTAACGACGAACGAATTCGTATGCAACCCACTTCCAACGCTCCAATACATCCTCAACAATTTATTTGACAGGAAATGAAAAAAAAAACAAGTTTGTCATTGGAAAATAAAGCAACAAAATTCAACTATTTCTATCCAGAACACATATAGAAAGAATGCACTGTTTAAATTTTTGTTAATTATTGATGGTTAATCTTATTAAAAATGCATAAAATAATTTTATTGTTATGCAAATTATTTTTCAGTTTGAGCGAACTGAATGATTGGTGCAGAACAATTACAAAAATGGCAAATTTCAATTATGATTTGATGATAACATCTGTGCAAGCATTTGATCATAAATGAAAAACTACCATTAATTTGTTCATTTAAACAAAAAATATATTAAACTGTGAAATTTAACTTACATTTTTACATTCCATTAGCTACGAACATCCATATTGTAATAAAAAAAAACATTGGCTTTAAACAATTTCAATGTATACATTTGTATGTAAGCAGGCACTTGCGCTAGTAAATCTATGTTATATTATGTCATGTTATGTTATATTTTATATCGAATTCAAAACTTAAAAAATATGTTTCGCGACAGTTTGTTTTACTTCCATCCATCCGTTCACATCTAGCTGAAAAATTATAAGCACAAATTCCACTCAGCCAATCGTTGAAATTCTCTTCATGGAGGGAGAATGCATACCACACGGGTATTCCAGATTTATTTTCCTCGCCTCACGTGCGCATCTTCATTCGTCATCCTACAACTTTCACTCCTACAACTATCACTTCTACAACTATCACTCCTACAACTATCACTCCTACAATTATCAATACTACAGCTATTACTCCTACAACTATCAATTCTTCAACCATCAATTCTACAACTATCACTTTTACAACTATCACTCCTACAACTATCAATTCCACAACCATCAATTCTACAACTGTCAATTCTACAACTATCACTTCTACAACTATCGCTCCTACAACTATCAATCCTACAACTATCACTCCTAACACCACTGCAACAAAATTATGGAAATCTTCGCAAAACGAGATAAAAAATGAAAAAAAAATCAAAAATATATCAAATGCGTGGAAACAAACATCACAAACATTCATGACCATCAAAATGTCAAACAAACAAAAAACAACTGCCAGCTCCTAACACACAACAGCAAAATGTCAAGTAAGCAAAAAAGAGCAGTCGAAACAGAGCAGCAATGACGTCAAAACCGACGGAGAAACCAACAGCACAACACCTTCGACATCATCAACTTTAATGAAATAACAACATCAACAACAAAACTAACAACAACAATAACAAACAAAACAAAAACAACAAATCACAAATAAACAATGATGTACTAACCGCTTCGCAAGCGGGCAGTTTGAAGCAGCTGAACATGGTGAGCGAGTTGGACGCGTCTGACATCTCCTTCTCTATATTCTTCTGTTTCAAAAAAAAAAAATATTCAAATGTTAAACAAATTAAAACATGCATTTTCAAACGATGAACAATAAAAACTTGCATCCAAATTATTTATATTATCGTGCGAAGTGCTAAGTTCATGGTTGAGGAATGTTTCTGGTATTGCATGTACACAAATACAAATTAAACTGTTACATTATAATATATTTATTGAGTTTATGATGCGAATACAAGAAATTTTCCCTTTAAAAAATATTTAAACCTGTTACATTAAACATTTAATACGTGCAAATTTGTGAAAACAAATAGATATGAAACACGTAAAGAAGTAAATCACCGGCATGATGTCCAACATGAATAACATTTGCACATGCATCATCCAACATACATAACTTCAAACACACTTATGCTTAGGCCTCACATACATTCAGACGATTTTTAACATACATACGAACACACGCACACACACACACGCACACACACACACGCACACACAAGATTAAACTTACAAAAATCGAGTTTAATCTCAAATTAAATGCATTAAATGCCGTCTGCAAACAAACTCGAGAACATTCTCAGCCTTCTTCAAACATTCTGTTATGAATATATTAGGAATATCTTCTTTGGTTGGGGTGTGCATTTGAAATCGGGCAAACAAGGCTTACAAAAGAAGTTTGTATATGTTGTACGTGTACAAGTATGATGAATTAACATGAAATTATATGCGTGCGCTCGCATATGTGTGTTAGAAAAATATCTAATCCAAACTGGTGCAAGTTTCAAACTCTGGTGTAAATAGCTAAGTATTCATAAAAGCAGATCTTTGAGCGTACCAAATATATCGCATAAACTGATCAAGAAACATTCTTGGACATTTACAAAAGATTGCAAACATACATACAAACATGTAAACATGCAAACATACTTACAAACATGCTAACAGTCACACACGTGCCTTCAAGCTTATGAAATTTGAATATAAGAAAAGAAGTAACAAGAAGATAAGTTGGATGTGCACGCGTATGATGATATCTGTTCGAGGCGAGTCAACTTTTGAAATGATGTCAACACGTCTTCACGAAGTTCTGAAGGGGATGATTTCAAACGAGATTATATTTTTTTCATTTGCTTTTTTTTATATTTGGTGTTTTTCGTTTTTTGATTTTGTTTTTTTTATTTGTCAAATCACTCCTTTCTGTTAACATTTTTTACTATGTGATCTGTATTGTGGAGACCAACACATACAAACTTGTCCAATGTTGTTTTGTTTGCGTTCTTAGATTTTTTTTGTATTTGTGATACAAACTGCTGATAACAAACAGTTTCTATTTTTAAAATGAGGTTTATATTGCACACTCAAAATTATTTTTTGCCTGGAAAAAATGATTAAATTTTTGAAAAATTAAAAAAACTTAGATAATATTAGGCCCAGGAAAAATAAAAGATAATTTAGTTCGGATTTAAATTTCAAATACATATTCTTTCTACATACATGCACACATACACAAATGACAAAAACACGTACAAACAAACATACATACGCACATGCATGCATGCATACAGAACAGATGTCAAATGAAGAATGAATGCATGGTTTAACATGCAACCCATTTTAAGCTCTTCTGATGAGGTTGTTAATGCGGTTCATTGAAGTTCATGTTGAAATTTTTTATGGTTTTCATCTTTTTGTTTGTTTGTTTTTGATTGTTTGCTTGTTTGTTTGTTCTCGTTTGTTTTATGATTTGTTCATGCTATTGTTACAGTTTTTAGAAATTTGTAATGTTTTTGAGTTACGATTCTTGTAGCTCTGGCCGGGTTTACAAAAGAAATGACCCAGGGACAAGAAAGAAGTGGGGGTATCTAATTATTTAGTGGACTTCCCAGATGAATTAGCGTCCCCAAAAATTTTACTACAATTGTGATTTCGTTGCAATTATTGTTGTTGTTGGTGTTGTTGTTGTGTTTGTTGTTGCTGCTGTTATTGTTTTCATTGTTTGATGCTGTTACTAATGTTGTTGTTGTCAATTTGCTGATGAAATTGTAGCATTAATTTTGATGTTGTGTATGTGGAATGAGACAATTTATCTTAATTTTGTTCTTCGGGTAACTGGTTATTTCAGTAAAGTTGTTAACATTGTTGAGTAATTTTTCCACATAAAAATATAGAGGCTTTTTTCGCAAGTTGTGTGGTGTAACTGTAGTTGTTGATCGCATTGGTTTTAATGACTTAATGTCTTAATAATAATATTTTGGTTGATGCTGTTGTTGTTGTTGGTGGTGTTGTTATTGTTGTTGGTGATGTCTTTGTTGTTGTTGTAGTAGCAGTAGAAGTAATAGTAGTAGTAGTAGTAGTAGTTGTCGTTGTTGTTGCTGTTGAGTTATTATCAGTCGTATCATTTTTAATCTCCATGTTATCAAATGGGATTTTTCTGAATATTTTTGTTGTTGTTCTATTATTGAAGATGATGTTGATGTTGTTGTTAGGTGTCGATGATGACGATAATAAAGTTGTTGTTGTTGTTGTTACCGCTTTTTGTTGATATTTTTATTGATGGTTTTCAATTGTGTTTCTGTTTTGCTGTTGTTGTTTTTGTAGTTGTTTTTGTAGCTATTAATTTTGTTGTAGTTGATGTTTTAGGTGATGTTGTTGTTGTTGTTGTAGTTGTTGTTGATGTTGTTGTTGATTTTATTTTTGTTGTGGTTTAGTTGTTGTTATAGTTGTTGTTGTTATAGTTGTTGTTGATGATGTTGTTTTTGTAATTGTTGATGTTGTTTTTGTTGTTGTTGTTGTAGTTGTTTAGTTGTTGATGTTGATATTGAGCAGCGCAACATAAACCCATCATTATACGGCTTCAGATTTTTTGTATTAAACGTCAAAATAAATGACTAGCAATGATTTGTGAATGTTTGATGCATGCATACGAAACTGCTGCTGTGTTTGTGTGTGTTTGTTTGTGTTTGTTTTTGTGTGTTTGTTTGTGTGTGTGTATGTATACTCAAACGTTTAAATGTGTATGTTTGTATGTGTGTGTATGTATGTGCGTGTTTGTGTGTGTGTGTTTGTGTATGTGAGTCTGTATGAGCGTACGTTTATGTTAGAATGTTTGTGTGCTTTTTATCATGTTGTGTTTGCCTGAGAATTCAGTTTGTTTACGTCTTTGATTTCGAATGCGTTTCTATACATTTTGCTTTATGTGTGTAGTATTTGTATATATATATATATAGGTAGTATTTGTATATATGTGTGTAGTATTTGTATATATGTGTGTAGTATTTGTATTTATGTGTGTAGTATTTATATATATATATATATATATATATATATATATATATATATATATATATATATGTAGTATTTGTATATATGTGTGTAGTATTTGTATTTATGTGTGTAGTCTTTGTATATATGCGTGTAGTATTTGTATATATGTGTGTAGTATTTGTATATATGTGTGTAGCATTTGTATTTATCTGTGTAATATTTGTATGAGTATGTCTTGTTATGTTTTTGTAGGTTTGTTTTTGTGTATTATTATGTATGTATGTATGTTTTGTGTATGTTTATGTGCGTGTATGTTTCTATGCGCGTGCGCGTGCATGTATGCGTGTGTGTGTGTTTGTGTGTGCGTGCGTGCGCGTGTGTGTGTGTAAGTGTGTGTGATCAGCAGCTCATCCATTCAACCATCCATCCATCCATCTACCAATTCATCCAAATGTTTGCAGATAGATTTTCGTGAATTCCACGCATTAATATTTTGATCCCAAGTGTTTGTGCCATGCTCAACTAAAATTGATTCATATGCACAAGATACATGCATACATACAAGCATATTATTTGTACACATATACATAATTTTTTCATCATAAAGAGAATATTGTAGATTATATATTTTTCCTTAAATTGCAATAAATAGCTCAATATTTTTTTTATTATGTTGGAGCCATACAAACTTGTAGAGTAAGAGAGTGAGTGAGTGAGTGAGAGAGAGAGAGAGAGAGAGAGAGAGTGAGAGAGAGAGAGAGAATGAGAAAGTGAGAAAGTTATAGTTTTTTTTAATGTCTACTGTATGTGTGTAATTGCAAGAGTTATTTTTTTTTAGATTTCCTGGTGATTTTCTTATTTACCAAATGAATGACTGGAAATATAAAAAAAAAAAAAACTGTGAGTCTGGTCTGCTTGCTCAGTGTTTCACACAAGAATGTTAAATTGAAAAACGAAGAAATGTATTTTCACGCACAATCATTAACGTGTACAATAAACAGCTCAACGACTGCAACCAAACACATTCACCTACACACACGCACTCACACAAACACGTACACACACACACACACACACGCACTCACACAAACATGCACGCACACACACACACGTACACGCACTTGTATATTGATAAAACTTTCAGTAACACATAATCTTACAAACACACACACACACACCACACACACACACACACACACACACACACACACACACACACACACACACACACATACTCCTACACATATTTAAAAACACAAACACTGATATAAACACAAACACACACACACAGTTGCACACGTAAACACTCACACAAACACACAC